CCTCCTCCTCCTCCTCATTCCCGCGGGCAGGTGATCATGCGAGCCTTCTCCCGGGACGCCCTGCAGCACTACGTGCCCGTCATCCAGGAGGAGGTGAGCGCCTGCCTGGCGCGGTGGCTGGGTGCTGCCGGGCCTTGCCTGCTAGTGTACCCCGAGGTTAAGCGCCTCATGTTTCGCATTGCCATGAGGATCCTGCTGGGCTTCCAGCCCCGCCAGGCCAGCCCTGACGGTGAGCAGCAGCTGGTGGAGGCCTTCGAGGAGATGATCCGGAACCTCTTCTCCCTGCCCATCGACGTGCCATTCAGTGGGCTCTACCGGGTAAGGCTCCTGGCAGGCTGGGAGGAGAGGGGGTTCCCCTCCATGCAGGACAGTGGGGAATGGGTGGGAGGGATAGCAGTACTAAGTCCCACATTGCTGTCCCTGCTGCCTGGCCAGGGCTTGAGGGCACGCAACATCATCCACGCCAAGATCGAGGAGAACATCCGTGCAAAGATGGCCCGCAAGGAGCCTGAGGGCGGCTACAAGGATGCGCTGCAGCTGCTGATGGAGCACACACAGGGCAATGGGGAGCAGCTCAACATGCAGGTGAGGTTCCCCAGGGCCAGATCTATCCCTTTCCCTGATCCCGTCTGTCAACAGCACGCTTATTTTGGGTGGTCAGAAGGAGAGAGCAGGAGGTGCTTCCTCTCCCCATGAAATAAACCACTAGTGCACTGGGGTGCAGAGGCTGCAACCAGGCTGTTGGATGGAGAGCACAGGACCAGGGCCGTGTCCACAGGGAGCATAAGCACTACCCTCATTCTGGCCCCTGGGTGCCTGCTCCAGCCTGGGAGCGATGCACAGCATGGTGGTGGTAGAGTGAGTCTGGGAGAGATGCTATGTTCAAGGCCTGTTTTATCCCTCCTCTGTCCTCTGTGTAAGGAGCTGAAGGAGTCTGCCACAGAGCTGCTGTTTGGGGGCCATGAAACCACTGCTAGTGCTGCCACGTCACTGATCGCCTTCCTAGGGCTCCACCACGATGTCCTCCAGAAAGTGAGGAAAGAGCTGCAGGTGAAGGTGTGTGTCTTCCCCAGAGACATTTCACAGGAAGGGGCAGTGGGCAGGTACCCCCAGGAGAGGTGTCCCAGGTGGGGCTCCCTTAGTGGTCACTTACTTCTAGTGTGTTACAGGAAAACACCACTCGCTGAGAGGTGGCTGCTTTGCAGTGCCGGGAGCCCTGGCCACCTGCTCCATAAAAGTCATGGCAGCATCTTCCTTTCTAGGGGTTGCTGTGCAGTCCCAACCAAGAGAAGCAGCTGGACATGGAGGTCTTGGAACAGCTGAAGTACACGGGCTGTGTCATCAAAGAGACCCTCAGGCTGAGCCCTCCTGTTCCTGGAGGATTTCGAATTGCACTGAAGACCCTTGAGCTAAATGTAAGCGGGGCTTGGGCTCAACTCCTCAGTGCAGCTGCATAGTACCACTGCATTCATGTAGCGTATCTGCCTTTGAGTGACCTGCAGGAAGCCAGGAGGGGAGGTGGGGTACGCCAACGTGTCCTCTGCTGACACTTCAATTTATTTAACACAGCAAGGTGCTTCATGTCTCCTTTCTCTTCTTTTGATAGGGTTACCAGATCCCTAAAGGCTGGAATGTTATTTATAGTATCTGCGATACCCACGATGTGGCAGATCTCTTTACCAACAAGGATGAATTTAACCCGGATCGCTTCATGTCTCCATCTCCAGAGGATTCCTCTCGGTTCAGTTTCATTCCTTTTGGTGGGGGCTTGAGGAGCTGCGTGGGCAAAGAGTTTGCAAAAGTCCTTCTAAAAATATTTACAGTGGAGCTGGCTCGGAGCTGTGACTGGCAGCTGCTGAATGGGCCTCCTACAATGAAAACGGGCCCTATAGTGTACCCTGTGGACAATCTGCCTACCAAATTCATAGGTTTCAGTGGCCAAATCTGAGAGGTCAACGCTTGCCCCTGGCTGGATTTCTATATAGCATCTAATATGTACATAATAACTTTTTATAGTAACAAAGGTCTTTAAATATTTAAACTTGTAAATGTAAAATAGTTATTTATGTCTTCTAAATATTTCAAAAGGCTATGATATTTTTTTCCTCAAGCACTACAATTATGGGTCTCTGATTCATAATTAGATAATGTTATTTCTATAGAAATAAGTTTTCCCCTATTTAAAAATCTTATTAAAAGCTGGCCAGCTTAAACATTTGAAGATATTTCACGACAGTGTATGTATTAAAAAATATTCTGAAAGGCATTTGAAACAATGGTAACTAGCTACTCATGCAAATTACCTAAAATGGTTATTGTTTGAGAATGTTTTCAGTATTATTTGTGTCTAGATCTCATGTTTAATGTGTAAATTTCAAGTTTGATAATAAAGTTTATTTTTGATGATCCTCTGTATGAAGATCTGCATGTATGCTAGACAGTAGCTAAAGAGTTTGGGTGTAAAGTCAGATCTGCTTTTGTGAATGAGCTATTAGCTACTTTCTATGCTCATAACTCTCCCCTACCTCCCACCCCCAATGTGGTTCTCACTTGTGAATAGTAAGTTGTTGTAAGTTTTAGCCCATAAGTGGCAAAAGCAGTGCAAAAACATGCATTCACTGAAAAAAAGTATGGAGTGAGAGCAAGAGGTAGAAGTCTCTTATCAAGCACATAATCTTGAGACATAGTAAATAAAAAAGAAAAGGGAAGCAGAAGAATAATGTGTAATGTGAATCTTTCTCTGTAGCTAGAGAAAATAGGTTGAGGAAAAAAATAATCCATAAAGGTCCTTTCCTCCCATCTTACTGCTGACCTGTGTAAACAGACCACTGGATCTTGTTCTGTGTTGAGTCTGCTGGCTATGAATCTTTACTTATGAAGGTGTCTCTTATCAGCTGGTAGAGCAAATAAAATCTGCTGGGATTTCTTCTTGAAATGCAACAGCTCTGACTAGGTCAGAGATAGAGCATGCATTTGGTTTAAGAACTTCTTTCCTGGAATTCAGCAAAGTGAAAACTAAAAGGCAGGCACTCATGTGAATTGATTAACAGGGAATCAACTGTTGAGATGCAATTCCCCGGGGGTGTGTAAGTGGGGCAGATAAAATGCCCTAGGCATGACCCCTGTTTTGACTTAACCATAGGGTTTTTTGTGCTTCCCCCTCCGCCCCTTACTGCACCTATTAGTCTTCCCTCAAAAGTCAAACAACGTAGGCTGGCTTTATAAACATCTACAAAGTAAAACAATGTAGTTCAGTGTCACAAACGCTTACAGCACCATATAGACTAATTTAATTTTTTGTTTGCTTCTGGAAAACAGTCACTTTTTCATTATGTTCTCCCAAGGTCAAAATTAAGGATGCAGTTAAGTTGCTCAAAATCGCTGCAGGTGTTTAATAGCATCTATGAGGTTTTGGATTTTTTTTTTTTTTTTAAAGGAGTGTTTCTATAATATATTTGATGTGTTTCCAGCTAGCATTTTAAATACATAGGTTTCTAATGTAAAACCTTAGACACAACCTACATATGAGCAAAACTATCAAAAGGTTTTCATATTCATTTTTTTGTAGTCTTAAAAAAGAAAAGAGATTATTTTTAGTACCTAAAGGGGCCTGCAGGAAAGCTGGAGAGGGACTGTTCACAAGGGCATGGAGTGATAGGACGTAGGGGTAATGGCCTTAAGCTGAAGGAGGGCAGATTTAGATTAGATCTTAGGAAGAAATTCTTCCCTGTGAGGGTGGTGAAGCACTGGAACAGGTTGCCCAGAGAGATTGTGGATTTCCCATCCCTGGAAGTGTTCAAGACCAGGTTGGATGATGGGGCTTTGGGCAACCTGGTCTAGTGGAGGGTGTCCCTGCCCATGGCAGGGGGGGTTGCAACTGGATGATCTTTGAGGTCCCTTCCAACCCAAACCGTTCTATGATTCTATGATTTCTCTGTCACCTTTTTTATTTTTGAGTCAGGTTTGCAAGGCTTTTATGTTTGGAGAAAAAAAATCATATACTTAATTTGATTTTGTTGAGACATCTAGGGGCACATCCTCAGCTGTTGTAAATCATGACAACATGACCTGTGTTAGGCACTGCCTCTGTATGGTTTATCTCTGTAAATGGTCTGTCACTGCCATGTAATTTAGGCATCTTGGAGTTAGCTTTAAACAAGCTATCCCAAGAAATGGTAGTAATATGGAGCTCAGTGCGGGTTAATTGGTAAAATATTTGCCCAACTTCTTGAGCAGGTTTTACAACCCCTGCTAATCTCCTCTATGCAGCTGTATCTTGACAGCTTAGATGCTGGCTGCGGACCAGTTTCAGGTGAGCTCTGGTATGATTATATGTAGCTTTGCCTGCTCAGCAGTGGCTGGTGTGGGCACGTGCTGAGACTGTGGCTGCCATTTAGGAGCTGACTGGCTCCTGCAGCCTCAGCCCCTACCCTTCTTGTCATGCTGGAAAACTCATCTTGCTGAAGAATTACCTACCACAAAACCTAACTGTTTTTTGGGCAGACTGGGTCCTCACTCCAGCTCTGTGTGTGACTGTTGTTTGTGCTGGGGTGCTCCAGCAGAGACAGAGGAAGCAGCCGCTTCAGCCTGCTCTGCAGCTAACAGGTAGCTCCTAGAGCCATGCTCTAGATTTCCTTTTGCAAACGTTAGTGTGTGTTGCTGTAAGTGACTGGTGCTCCAAGGCTTGCAAGCTGAAACACATTAAATGGCTGGATTTGGTGAGGAGTGCTCACTCCCTTCTTGTAATTGGGCCTTTTTGGGGTATTTTGTATTCCTCCTCTTAGTTAACCTGTGATTTAAAAGAAAAATCTTTGACTAGGTCTCTCAAAAACAAACAAACAAACAAGCAAGCAAGCACACAATTCAGTAGGTGCTATGCTTTGGTTCTGGAGTAAAAAAGCCATGAATTATACGTAGCATGCTGTTTTTTCTCTGAGGGTAAGGTGGGTTACTGGAACCTGCACTTCTAAACCCACATGAATAATAGCTCCTGCCAGGCAGCAGCATCTCTGGTTCTTAGTATTTCTGAAGTGTTTATGTAATGCTAAATATGTGGTTCTTAAAAACACACAGTTACATCTATTCTGGAATAAAAATGACATTAAAGAATGACAGTGGTGTAAATTGACATTGAGGAATGCTACTTGGTAAATCAATTCCTGATTGAAAGGCAACAGTATTACCAGATAAGGTCAGAACAGGTAACTGAATTTTTGGAATGGTTATATGAGTAAGAAAAAATGTGCAAATGAATGCTGAAGACTCACTGGAAATAAAAATATATTGATTTATTAAAAATAACTTGATCTGATTTATTTATTTTGTCCTAGTGAAATGAGGACGTTACTTTCATGTTGCTTTCAGCAGTTGAGCTGGGAAAGGATTTTTTCCTTTGGCTCATAAAAGCACATATGGAAGGGACAGTACAATTTGAAGCCTTGTATGCTTAAGGTTTTGCACTTACTTTTTCAACATTTCATTTTATTTTTTTGCCTTTATTACAGGAGTCTTTTCCTGGACCTTACAAGATGAGAGGCTGACAAAAATGTTGCCCTTCTTTCTACCCCATTTCAATCTATCGTATGTTTTCTTATTTTATTCTGGTCAGTGATTTAGAATAACCTTTGGAGAGGTGCCAAGAAAAATACTTAATAATATGTAAAATATTCCATCCTTGACTTTCAAGTGGTACTTTCCTAAGTGCTATAGGAAGTTTTTAAAACTGGTTTTACAAATCTGTGTCTAGTCATCTTTGAGAAGAGAACACTGCTGTGTTTCATTAATTCTATACATCGGCAGAGGTGCTCAGGGTGGATGCCAATAAAAGAGTATGTCCCAGTTGTTTAAAGCTAATGTGCATAAAATTAGACCCCTAGGTCCATCTCTCTTTTTTTAGGCATTAGAATTCATTTTTATGAGGTATAAGTTCTCAAAATTTGTTTTATGTCTCAAAGGGAGCTGCACTGCTTAGGCTCCCTGAAAATCCAATACGTTTGATTTAGTCCCACATACAGATTAAGTAGCCCATGGGCAAGCAACCCATTGCCAAATTTCTTTACCTTAAAATTATTACATACCATCTTCCCTAGAACAGTCTAAGAGGATCCTATGCAAGACTATAGGATCCCACACAAGGCTGTGTCTCTGCTGAACATTCAGGTAAACCAAATGTCAATCTATTGACTTTTGGCATTGTTTTTGAAATTGTAAAAGGCAGTCACAAATCTTGTGTTTGGGACACAGTGCTCAGTAGGGTATGTTCCAGCCCCAAATTAGTTACTTTATTTATGGCTTAAAGGTACTATGTTACATGTAGTTGTCTTCTCTATTATAACAAAAAAGAATGGGTAGGTTTGGATAACATTTATTAATCCAGATAGTTTTGTTTGCCAGGTGGTTTGTATTGTAAATTCTCTGTCAAGTTATACATCCAGCATGCAATGCAAAACATATACAGATTAGCAGCAAAGATTCAAAAAGTTTATTAGTTGCAACCATTAGAGTGATAGATTAGGAGAAAGGAAACATAACTGGCAGCAAGTTTAGAGAAGACTCATTACTAGACTGGCTTGCTTCACTTGTTTAATAATGTCTTATGAAAAATGTTATATGAGAAGTTCAATGAATAATGCAGCCTTCATTAAGTTATGTAAATGAATGTAACTTCATGGGTGGGTTAGAAATAAAATATTTAACAAATCTGTTTACATCCAAAGAGTAAAAGCAGCAGAGACAGCTTTTAAAGAATCTCAGATTAAAATATTTAAAACGTGACAGACAAGAGAGCTTTGGTAATAGGACATAATAGTGCTGTTCTAATAGGTGTTTACAGCCTGTCAGTTGCAACATGGGCAGGGCAACACATGAAGTATTCTCAGTTAATTAAAGTGTTATTTGTTCTTTTATCAGGAGTCCTAACATGCTTTTTCACTTGTGTATGCTGGTAGTGCCCCAGAGACACATGTAGAACTTGTGTGATTTGCAAGGCTAGAAGGATCATTTTGGCAAAAGTGACTTACGACGTACTTGTTTGCCAGGTCATTTTGTTCACAAACACACAATCATTCATATACTGGTTGATTTCAATGTATCCTTTCTTTCCCCAGTTTATGACCATTTAGGAAAGCCTAAGTCTCCATGGGTTAAGTTTACACTGCTGTATGGGATAACTGCCACAACACAAGAAAATTATAAACCAAGGACTAAATCAGCTATTGACAACGTGCTTTCCTACCACACCCACAAATGCCAACCTTTCCTATGCCTCTCCCAAAACAAATCCTTGGATTTGGGCCTCACAGCTTACCCAGAAGGTCAAAGATTGTTTGAGGCTGTTTTTGAGCAAAGGGGGGAATAAATTCCAGAGCTGAGGGCCCCTCACAGGATCTCTCCAGAGATAAAAGTAA